ATAGCTTATGTGATGGTAAGTATCTAGATCAAGTATAATTAATCCATGCTTATTGCTCTAGTCTTTGCCATGAGAAGTGTGGCCTAGAATAAAATATTGTGCAACTTGCACATGACTCACCTACATGCTTAAGGTTATGTGGCACATACTAGCACACTTCACTTGATGACCAAGCAATCCACACGCCACCTAGCACGATGACTAAGCTCGGAAAATGCCACCATGGCCTAGAGTTCAAGCAAGTGTCATCACCTCATTTTACCATCATTTATCATCTCCATCCATTTTTAACTCTATTTATAGAGTAAGGGCCGTGCATGGGAGTTTTTCATGCAAAAGCTGAGTAAACCGAGCTATGTCGAGAAATAAGATAGAAAGTACCGAGAGAAATAGAGAGAAAAATATAAACCGAGAGCTTAAGGTGTAAAGGTTAACTTGCACAAGTCATTGCCGAAGGGAAGCTCACGCACCTACGTGTGGCCGCGAGCAAGAGCACGCCAACCCTAACACATCTCACGAGCAATCGGAAGGGTAAATTCATATCGACCTTCCTTTAGTTATTTTATAGTCATTATAGCAAGATCATGTGTTAAATAAGTAACTAAGCTCATTAAATGGGTCAAGTTACACTCGGAGGTGCCATATAGGCCCTCCCGAGCCATGTCAATTTCTAGCCGAGCACTCACGAGCAATTTATGTATTTTCGGTCGTTATATGTCATATCATGTTGGTTCATGTCATCGTTGCCGGAAAATGTTGCTGGACGGCCGACGAGGTGCCGACCGTAGGGCCTGCCCGCACGTAGCGGTGCAGCGCCAGTTGGCAGTAGCTTGCAGACATGCGGTGATGAAGGATCGTGTGTTTGTTCCACTCGCTTGCTTCGAAAGACACGTTGCCACGGCCTCCTTCTTGGCGATAGTTGTGATCGACTCGGTTATTAGCCTAACTCTCTCACGATACTTGAGTTCAATTGGTAATTAGCCTCGCTCCCTCGATTTTGAACTAGCTCGGGTCTTAGCCTCACTAATTCGATTGCATGATCGAACTCTCACGAATCCTAACACACGGATGAACAAATATTCTTTTCTATTCAACTCATCAATTCTGGACTATCAAAACAATAAGGGATGACCCCTATTTATAGTTGCAAAATAAATCTAAACCTAGTCTAATTAGATCTCCTAAACCATGCAATAAAATAAATCCTAAAGCTATTAAATATCCTAACATCTTCTACCACTAATGCAAGAAGGAAATAGAATCCTAATTAATCTACTAGTCTTGGTCTCCAAGTAACTTGACTTGCACACCAAGTT